ATCTCTGAAGGCAACACTCTTTTGACTTGCCATTGCTTGCGTGTTTTTCAACCGTTGTTCTAATCTTTTCACTCTTTGGGTTATTTCTTCCTGTACTCTCTTTCGGGCAGGCTTCTCGATGTTTACAGGAAGCTCAAACGAGTACGAGTGGTACTCGGGAGAGTGGTACTGTTCTTGCTGTGTAGCAAATCGTGACTCGTGACAAGGCTGTCCTTGGCCATTGGCCCAGGCTTGACGTATTTGGGTCATTTGTTGTTTCAGTGTTCTATTTTCCTCAACCACAGTAGACCCTTGTTGAACCCTCTGACCCTGAATCTCTTGAGCACTCGTAACAGCTTCGACGTCAGTTATCATTTTCCTTGGATCTTGTGTTTCCAGCTTACCACAACCGACCACCTCAACTTTCTTCACAATTCAAAACAAAACATGTTAGAATGGATTGGGCCGGTCCTTATTATTAACAACATCTTTTCCATTTTTATTCAATTCTATTTTTTTATTTTTTTATTTTTTGGTTTTGGTTGTGGTCGAATCCTATGTGGATTGCCTACGTATCGTGCCCCCGCACGAATCAGACCAGGCGTAGTTCGTGCAAATAAAAGGTAAACGATAATAAAATATTTTTTGGAATTTTCCATTTTCATAATAACGACAAAACTGACCAACTTAACGATGCAATACAGACTCGAAAATCAAATGACCCATTTACTCTAATCAAAAGAAATACAAACCCAAAAACAAAATGATAGATTCCTTCCCCTATATGCCAACTTTGACCCAAAAATCCGAACGGTATTCACTTGACCACTGACTCTTTTCTTGTTTTTTTTTCAAAATTAAAATAAATGACCCGGTATTGCAATCACGGCCTTCCTGCGCCTCGGGGGCGAAGATTTTAAGGATGTGAGGGTCAAAAATCAAAATACGACCAAAGGTGTCTGTTTATGCAAAGTCAACCTTTCGGCGCCCCGTTTGGGAACATTTGGCTTTTGACAAAAACGGCATCACCTGGTTTATTTATGACAAAAATTAAAATTTTGATATCTTTTGGTTATTTTTGCAAAAGGGTGGTTGGACCCGATGAGGGTTGCCTACGTATCTCACGCCCTGTGAGAATCAAACCATGCGTAGTTCGGGCGAATTAACCGAACCATTTTAAAATAAGACTCTTTTTGATTTTCATTTTTCATGGCAAGACAAACTATTTCCTTTACTATTTTTGAAAACAAGACAAAATAACGACTTTTTTTTCATTTTCAACAAACAATAAAACAACCTATTTTTCCAAACTAACATAAAGACTCTTTTCCATCTTCTTTTTTCAACAAACAACTGTCCGAGAATAAAAGACTCTTTTTTCCTATTTTCTTCTTTTTTTTCGTTTTCTCAAAATTTCGGCAGAGTTTCGACAGTACTTGGTCATTGATTTTTCTAAAATAAACAATTAACTCCCTAACTGTTATTTCTCTCTTTTTCTCTTTTTTCTTTTTTTTTCCCCTCAATTTTTCAACATTCCCGAGTTTCAGAAACCGGCCAGCATGCAGGTTCGACACAAATATATGTTTAGAGCAAGAAGGATGCATCAGGATGGTCCTTTCATTTCAGGTTGCTAGCCCTAGACGGACCCAACCCCTGTGTTGAGTCCCCTAAGTCAAATGCAGCATGATGCAAATAATCGTTCCTACTAGGGATCCAGCATGAAGTCACGTTATTCTATATTCAAAACCTGGGTCGGTATTCTAGACTGTGTACCCGAGCGGACGACTCGAGTCGAGTAGGGGCAACTTACCGGGAACCAAAAGACCATCCGGCTTCGTAACTTGTCCGGCCTCTTTCTTATTTCAAGGTATGACACTAACAGAATAAGGAGTCTCAACCAGTAAGCACATCCCCGGAGGTGAAGAAAGAAGGGTGTCGGCACAGTTTATATACAGTTCAGATAATATCAAAGCGGTAACATTTAGAACATTAAGCACAAAACATGTAGGAAAATCAGATACAATCAAATACAACAATTTATAAGCTCGAATTCTGAACCCTGAACAACACGTTCTGGGTTCGATCCCCAGTAGGGTCGCCAGAGCTGTCACACCTCATTTTTCACCTACACCCCCGGAAGGATGTAAAGGATTTTTTCTATTTAAAGGACAATCGGAACGAGATTTAATTATTGATTATTCAGAGTCGCCACTTGAGAGATTAATGGTGTCCCAAGTCACCGGTTGTATCCCGAACCGAGGAAACATATGACTCTGTTAACAGTCTGCGAACCAGAAATCCGAGTAAGGAATTCTGTTAACCAAAGAGAAGGTGTTAGGCATTCCCAAGTTCCGTGGTTTTAGCACGGTCGCTTAACTGTTGCATTTGATTTTATCTGATTTTAATACCTGCTAGCTTAGGTGCCTTTTATTCGTAAACCGCTTTTTATCATTATTTATTTTAAAGGAATTGCGACGTCGTGAAAACGCGTTTTGAACCACGTCGCAATCAATGCACCCGTGGTTGTCAACACATTTTGACTTCGTCGAGATTTGGATTTGGATCGTATCAATGCGCACCCGAGTTTAAGAAGGTAATTTAATTAAAATCGCGCCTAAAGCAACTACGAGATTCATTAGTTTGAATATTTTTCTAAAAGCTAATTTGAGATGTTTACTTTCCAAGGAAACTATTCAAAATAGATAAGAAAAATTGGATTATTAATGAGATTAACCAACTTCCCAACCTCAAAACCCATTTGAGCTGCTTTATTTTGTTCCCTTTTCCCAAATTTTATTTGACCAAAATATGTTTTCTAAAACATAAATCTAAGATTGATGTGCAAATCTCCAGCACTCAAATGGATTGCATATGAAATTGAAATAAGAAAACGTCTAAGATATGGCTATACATGACGTCAAATCTTTAAAAAACTAAACCCCCATTCAACGGATTCATGATATTAACGTAATTGCAACCACATAATAATAAGCATATCATTTTATCTTAAACACAAATTAATGTAGACAAAATTCAATAAATATCATGGAAACAAGAAAAATTAGAAGAAGTAAAAAGAGGAGAAAAGAGACCTCTCGGAGACCAAATTGTCCAATGCTAGCCGCTGACCAGGTGATGTCCTCGAACCGTAAGATCAAGGCTTCGCCGGAAACCTCAACGGAATTACGACCGGACCTCGACACTCGCCAGGTCTCTCGCCAGACTTCACCTGTTTGACCATTTTTGGCAGAGACTCGGTAGTTTTGAACTAGAACGAGTCGTCGATGATATATCGAATGAGAGAGAGTGAAGTAGTTGAAGGCGATGAAGCAGCTAGGGTGATGACGAGTTTTGGCTGTGCATTTTCCGGCGAGTTCGCCGCTGGTGGGCGAGAGGAGTTGAAGAAGCTGCAATTACTCTGTTTTTCTTAGTCCCTAGGGTCGTTAGGTTGGTGAGAGGATATGGAGAAGAAGAAAACCAGACTGATGGAGGGGGAGGGGGTTGTGTTCGAAGGAGACCAAAGTCTGGGGGAGGGGGAGACTTTCATTTAGAAGCTGCGCAGCTTCTCATTCTTCAGCCTTCCTCCTTTAGCTTTTTTATCATTTTCTTTGGTGTTCCTTTTCAGAAGAAAACGAAAGGGAGGGTCCTTTTTCTTTAAAAAGGCTGCGCAACTCCTTTTCCGTGTATATCGTTCCCCCTTTTCCTTTAGTCTTCATCATTCTTTTATAGTGTAGAGTCTAGGTTGTAGGGTTTTTAGGTTAAGGGGTATGAGTCTAGGAATTATGGGCTTGACACTTATGGATTAGGTCCAAAATTAAGCCTAAAATGGGTTGCTCGAGCCCAAGCTCTATTCTTTTGCCGCGAATGAGATTAAAATACGCGCCCATTTGTTAATTATTCCTACTATTCAAATAATTATTAAAATAAAACTAACCATTAAAACAAATATATTTTTGGTATTTTCAAAATATCATATTAAAATAAAAATACGATACTATTGTTGTATATATTTTTAAGATTTTTTTTAATTAAAAATGACTACAAAACATTAATGAACCTATTTTTGTGATTTTGTTTTCTTGTAATAAAATAGAGTAAAAGAGTCAAAATTACTTAAAATATCTATATTATGCCTAAATTAAATATTTTATGCTAATATATGAAAGATCTTGGGGAGGGTCAAAAATCACATGTCTACAAGGTGTAGTTATCGCAATTGCGATAAGGGGTTCGCAATTGCGAACCTTTTGAAATCCTGCTATCTTCACATTTGCGAAGGGGACAATGCATTTGCGATGAAGGGCCTTAGCAATTCCCAGCCCAGTGTTCACATTTGCGATGAGGGCCTGCCCAGGCTTGGTTCGCAATTGCGACACTTTGGTCGCATTTCCTAAGCCTGAACACTTCGCAATTGCGAAGCCTGATCTCGCCTCACAATTGCGAGATCAGAGGCCTGAGCAAAAATACCAGATGCACAACTGCAATTTACTAAATCCAAATCACCCCGTTGTCTATCCAAAACTCACCCGAGCCTCTGGGGCTCCAAACCAAACATACACGTCAGTCTAAAAACATCATACGGACTTGCTCGTGCGATCAAATTATCAAAATAACATCAACAATTACAAAGTTAACCTCAAATTCATGAAATTCCTTAAGAACATTGAAATTTTCATTTTCTCAACTAAAGTCCGATTTATACCAAATCAACTCCGATTCTTACCAAATTTCACAGATTCATCTTAATTATTATTTTAAACCTATACCGGGCTCCGGAACCAAGATACATGCCCAATACCATCAAGAACACGCATCATTTCACTTCTAAAAGCCTTTATATTTTCTAGCAAACAATTTTATTTAAAAATTCTTTTCTCGAGCTAGGGACCTCAAAATTCGATTTTGGACATAAGACCGAGTCCCATATTTTACTACGGATCCTACAGGATCGTCAGATCACGGGTCCAGGTCCATTTACCAGGAATGTTGACCAAAGTCAACTTTAATCAACTTTAAAGGCCAAATTCATTATTTTCCTTAAATTTCACATCAAAAGCTTTTTGGAAATGCGCCCGGACTATGGACGCAAATCGAGGTGAGACAAAAAGAGGTTTTCAAGGCCTTGGGGCACAGATGACTTCTAAAACAAGAGATGACCTTTAAGGTCATCACATTCTCCACCTTTAAAACAACCTTCGTCCTCGAACGAACATAGAAAAGTACTTGAGTCGGTGAAAAGATAAGGATAACAGCTCTGCATATCGGACTCGGACTCCCAGGTCGCTGCCTTAACAAGCTGACCTCTCCACTGTACACGAACAGAAGTGAAATTCTTCGATCTCAACTGACGAACCTGCCGGTCTAGAATAGCTACCGACTCCTCCTCATAGGTCAAGTCCTTGTCCAACTGGACAGTGCTGAAGTCTAACACATGGGATGGATCGTCGTGATACTTTCGAAGCATGGACACATGAAACACTGGGTGCACAGCTGATAAACTCGGTGGCAACTCAAGTCTGTAAGCCAACTCTCATACTCGATCAAAAATCTCAAAAGAACCGATGAATCTAGGGCTTAGCTTGCCCTTCTTCCCAAATCTCATCACACCCTTCATGGGCGGCACCCGAAGCAATACTAGCTCTCCGACCATGAATGCCATATTGCGAACCTTACGGTCGGCATATCTCCTTTGCCTGGACTGAACTGTACGAAGCCTATCCTGAATGATCTTAACCTTATCCAAGGCATCCTGTACTAGATCTATACCTAACAACCGAGCCTCTCACAACTCAAACCATCCAACCGGCGACCGACACCGCCTACCATATAATGCCTTATAGGGAGCCATCTGGATGCTCGACTGGTAACTATTGTTGTAGGCAAACTCTGCTAATGGCAAGAACTGATCCCACGAACCTCCAAGTCAATAACACATGCTCGGAGCATATCCTCCAAAAGCTGAATAGTATGCTCAGACTGTCCATCTGTCTGAGGATGAAACGCTGTGCTCAACTCGCCCCGAGTACCCAACTCATGCTGAGCTGCCCTCCAGAAGTACGAGGTAAACTACGTACCTCAGCCAGAAATGATAGACACGGGCATACCATGAAGACGAACGGTCTCACGGATATAAATCTCTGCTAACCGCTCAGAAGAATAGGAAACTGCCACAAGAATGAAATGCACTGACTTAGTCAGCCTATCCACAATAACCCACACTGCAACGTACTTCCTCTAAGTCCATGGGAGTCCAACAACGAAGTCCATAGTGATACGCTCCCACTTCCACTCAGGAATTTCAATCTTCTGAAACAAGCCACTTGGTCTCTGATGCTCGTACTTTACCTGCTGACCAGTCAAACATTGAGCTACATATGTAACAATGTCCTTCTTCATCCTCCTCCACCAATAATGCTGTCGCAAGTCCTGATACATCTTAGCGGCACCCGGATGAATAGAATACCGAGAACTATGGGCCTCCTCTAGAATTAACTCACGAACTCCATCCACATTAGGCTCACAAACACGACCTTGCATCCTCAAAACTCTATCATCTCCGATTGTAACCTGCTTGGCACCTCCGTGCCGCACTATGTCTCTAAGGACAAGCAAATGAGGATCATCATACTGCCGATCTCAGATACGCTCAAATAATGAAGAACAAGCGATTGTACAAGCTTGTTATGCCCCGTAGTATTATGATGATGTTATGCCCTGCAATATTATATTACGGTAATGTTACGCTTTACAGTAATAAGTTACGATGAAGTTGCACCCTGTAGTATTGTACGTTAAATTTGTCGTAACGTAATTGGCATCAGTCCAAGGAAAAGATTGTTTGGGGATTATAAAGATTATAAATGATGAGTAAATTCATGAAGGTAAGAGGGTAAGTAATATCGAAGAAATTGAATTTTTGTCGAAGTTTGGCATCTTGAGATAAAATACGGCCCGAGTTAAAATGTCCGGTATTTATGGACTAGTACCATGTAAGGTACCCCATAGCCATAATAGTAAGGTGCATAAAGTATATTAAAAATAAGTAACATTTTAAGTAATTGGAGATAATTTTTAAAATTATGCGGGTAATTGATTAATTACCGGGTAATAGGACATTACCCAATTAACTATTAAAATTGGGATAAGATTAAAACCCCACCCCAAAACGTGGCAGCATCCACCACCAAATTAAATTACTCATTAGTCAATTTTGAGATTAGGTGGCAACAAACTAAGTAACAAGCCTTAAATTTCAAAAAGGCTATATACTTATCTTTCAAATTAGAAGATACATATATCTTAAACACTTAAAAGATTAATAAGGCCTTTCATATGAAAAGAATCTGAAGCTAATGAAATGCTTCTTTTGAAGTTAACATGAGCAGAAACATTTTGTTTCAATGAAAGCTTCATTTGAAGTAGTTCGTCCAAATTTCAACAAATCAAGCAAGATTTCATTCCTCAATTTTAAAGCGCAGAAGCTTAATCCGATTTTTAGGTTCTATTTTCAATCCACGAAGGTTTCCAACGGAATATTATACAGAGGTTTTTCTGCTCCAAGTATGTTAAGGTTATCCCTTCTTTCTTTTTGGCATGATCCATATGACACGAACGAAACGTGCAAATGCACAAATTCCATAAATGACTCTATTCATAGAAGTATTAGAGATATCTATATTCTTGAATTTCCATGTGTCATAATATTTTATCATCTGTTCATGGGTCTCAGAAAAATATGAAAGTTGAGAAGAGTTTACTTTATGATATTACGCAAAGGCAAAATGGTCTTATGACATTCCATAAGATTTTATTAACGTACTTTTCATGCATTGCATTCATGTACATTGACCCGTGATCAGATGACATTATATACGTGTATATATGTATGTATATATATATATATATATATGGGATATGAGAAAAGGTTATAATGTTATATACGCACCACAACCTGATCAGCTCGCATATGATAATGATGTTGCCCACAGTGGATTCAAACAGCGTTATATACGCGTATATATGTATGTATATGTATATGGGATATGGAAAAAGGTTATTGCATTATATACGCACCACCATCTGATCAGCTGGTATACGATGATGACTTTGCCCACAGTGGCCGATATGATATGATGGGATGCCCTTAGAGGCTGATGATGTTATGAAATATGTACCTATGCAAGACATGACATTCATACGCATATGCATGACGCTAGATGTAATTTATGATTTTCAAAGTAATTCAGACTTACAGGTTGAGTCATGTACTCTATATGTCTTCCATGTCTCTTATGTATTTATTTATGTGCCTTACATACTCGGTACATTATTCGTACTGACGTCCCTTTTGCCTGGGGACGCTGCGTTTCATGCCTGCAGGTCCCGATAGACAGGTCGAGAGACCTCC